TACGTGCTGTCGTATTTGTTGAAAGGCCCTTGTTTGTTGTCCGCTGCTGCTTTGTTAAGGATGTCCACCAACACGGTTCCGTTCGGCACTTTTGTGACGTAACTGGCTGGTACTTCTTTATTAACGACGCTGACATTCCAGTAAATCTTCAGGGTTACTGTGATCTGTGAGAAGTGCGCGCATGACGCCATAAATACTGTAAATTGGGTAAATATTACACCGGAATACATAAAGCTAGGAGTTATATAAGAGCTACGTCACAATATTTTACATCTTTTTCGGATGCACAGCCAAGTCTTCACGCTTCCTGATCACGCTCTTAACCCTTTCAGCCCCGGAGAAAAACCTTATTTTTCTAAAATGATAACAGTAGATCGAAAGACCACAAGTAATATACCAGTTGAAAGGTATTGTTTGGGGCATGTATGTCCTAAATCATCACAAGAGAGATACAAGATGTCACAAATTGAATTGAGGAGTCTGCAAAGTAAAAACATTAAAACGTTCCAAAATACCTTATTTCTTGTATATATTGGGTATACCCCTTAACAATAGCTTAATTTGCAGCTCTGGGTTTGCAGATTTTTATCAGATATTCACTTGACCGTAAAATTGTAAAGTGCAAAAGTTTCAAAAACTTGAGGGGTGGTTAATCAAGTCTGATTCAGGAGGGGGGTACGATTTTGTGCTTCCAATGTGAAGATCTCTCAAAGATCCTTTTGGTGTCCAAATTTGAAACGAATTGGCCAAATATTAAGCTTATTATAACACTTTGTGCCGGCACTATCGGGGCTCAACTTTTTTCCTTAGCAACCGCCAACGGCTGTTGCTTATCCCTTCTCCTGGCTGGTTTCCGTAAATTATTTCATGGCGTGAATGTCAGCAGAGTTAACGCTAAGGATCCTGACGTATGACGGCATGTTGCTATTATGGATCAAAGAAGCCTGTTGAAATGTTTTTTAGGTCGTTTTACGCGCAATTGTTGTCAGTCATAGGTTAAAAAAACTAAAAGTTATGATGATGGCGTAATAACGTAATGTCAAGTAATCAGTTGTAGTTACCATGTTTCAGACAAATTAGTTTGCTGAGTTTTTTAATCGCAGTTTTCGCCATTATACAATTCAAATTTTTCACCGCAAAGAATTCAGAAGTTGCAAAATTGTTATCACGTGATCACTTTTTTTTTAAACCGACGGTGCATTCCTAAAGGAAAAAGAAACGTCATTTCCAATAGGCGTGCGATATTATTCAGCCTAAATAATGATTGCAAAGAATGGGAAATAATAAAAGTAAACTCGTCACATAAGATTTCCGAATAAAACACAACACGTTTTCACTAACTTGGCATCGGAACAACTCGTACTTACCTCGGAAGCGGGTTCGAGAGGACTTCTCCTTTCTCTGAGCTGGGCTGGGTCAACGAGTAATCAGACACATTATTCAAAAATTAACATTATGTTAGCCAAAGGGGAGCTAGAAAGTGTAAATGTGTCGGGATCTATGTCTATGCTGATCCTTATTGCAGTGGAAGTTTTTTTGCTCAAATTCTACCGTTCAGTTCAGTACTATAATGAAAACTTTACAAGACCGTGACGGAAGGATATCAAAACAAACGAACACTACTCGACATTCTACAATGAACGCTTGACACGTCGCATAAAATACATGTACATAAAGGCCGCCAAATTATAACCAGTGTTTACTGTCTTGCACAGAAAGGGTCGTGGGTTAGTTTCAGTCAATGTCGAAAATAACGACATGATCTAAAACGCGAAAGAACAAAGCCGGAACCCACCAAACAAAGGTCGAATTGATCGAAACGAGCCGAAGTCACTGAAATAAGCAAAGGTCGTTATAGAAATCCATCTATTATTCTATGGAATCCTATGTAGGTTATAATTTCAATGCCAAAATTATTTTATTCCTTGTCATGGATTGGAAATGCCGCCTTCGTCGCTTTTCAGAAGATAGGTACGATCCAGAGGGTATCATGGATGACAACGTATGCTCCCAAACTTGAACCTGTCTGTGCTCGCACGCCGCATTCTAGGAAACTTAGAATTTCCTTAATTTCCACGAATGTTGCTCTCGAATGCGGTCACCTTTTACATGTAAGCGACTTAATACGCGTTGTATAGTCGTGAGCTGTGTAACATGTAAATGTTATTATAAAAAAACAAACAAACAAAAATTTTGGGCATGCGTGGAAATTAAGGAAATCCTGTGTTTCTGAGAATCTGATGATACACGGCGGGACCTGTGCCTAAATATATCCAAAAAAATTTATGAGGAAGAAGTATTTTTCAGCTACGACAGAGAATATACGAAGTTTTAGCATTTTAAAGATTTAAAAGAACTAAAAAGAAAAAAAAAATAAAGTTTATGTATAAATAAATACAAGCTACACAGGATCCATTAAAAAAAGCTTGATGGATATCTGTGGATTAAACTTGCTGCCAAATGTCCGATATTCTCTCAATGTTCACGGAATTTACTTGGTTGATTTCTACGGATCACTTCAAACAGTCAATTAATATCATGGTAACTGTTGTATAACGATGTATCTAGCCATGGATCTCGTCGCGTTTGATTTGATTCCAAACCGGATAACGGCTTTAAATTTTACGCCAAAAGCTACTAAATTAACTCAACACTGCTGCCATAACAACCTTTCACTTAGGATGCGTTCCTTTGGGATGATCTTGATCAGGATCAGTGATCCAAGATCACTTGGATCATGGTACATCAAAGGAACCGATGAATCAGTGACTAGAGTGGATTCGTCGGTTCCTTTGATGCACCATGATCCGAGTGATCTTGGATCACTGATCCGGATCTGGATCACCCCAAAGGAACGCATCCTTAGGCTCGATTTGCGGCGAAGCAGACGGCACGAGAGTTTGTGTCTGTGACAATTCTTTGGGTACAATCCTCTTCCCTTCCTCTAAACGATTTTTTTTATGATACTACGAAACAAGCAAAATCTTCAATCCTCTCTCTTGCACCAATCCCGTCTAGTTGTTATTGTTTATTTAAATAAATAGTTTTCCAGACTGTTCCTTGTCTTGACAAGCCTTTTCCATCTTTATACCATCGTCAAATGCGGAACTAAACCAACGAAACCGCGGTGTCGGGAATATCTGGAAAATGTACTTTTCCACTGTGCAAACGATAATGATAACGGGTTTTGCTTACTTCGGTGATTTCATTTCGTTTCGCTCGTTTCGGTCAGCCTCGGCTGTCTTGTTTCGTTCATTTTGTTTCGGCGATTTCGTTTTGTTGTTTAGGGTTTAGTACTTGCCGAAAGTCATAACACCGTCCTCGACGGTTAGAGAGTACCGACGGATGCCACTGACTCGTTAAATAGACTGAAAGTGAAAAACTCTACCTTGTATGCCGTTGGAAAAGCTGCAAAAGAAGAAAGCGAGCAATAAAGTATGAACTGGTGACATCTTCATCTCCGTTCTGTTTTAGTTTCCGCTCTCCAAAAAGGCTCTTCTCAATGGTCTTATTCGCATGTGTCTGAGCAGTCACTATTGTGTTCGCTTATCAAGTGCTACTCTAAATAAGTGCAGCCAATCAAGAGTTGGTGAGATTACCTATACACAAAGGAACGCGATGTCGACGGTTCCAATCTCCCATTCCTTAAATGGGAATGGATTCCTGTGGAATTTTGGCAAAAGTTTCGTTATTCCCTAAATAGCTCTGAATCAGTCTACGGGTTGATTTCCACGAAACACATCAAATTACTTTCAGCGTCAGCGCTACATGGGACGACTTTCATCACAACGATTGAGTATTGAAGATTTGGCATTTTGTGATGTGGCAGAAATAACGTAGGCAAACGAGGCCAGTATGGCCTACTCTAAACAAATACAACATCAGCTAACATCGAAAGCCGCTGGTGAAAAGCCTTCTCGATGGTCTCAGGTTTCTTGGTTATCATGATCAGACGTTGCTAGCGGCTTATCTTCTTATCTAAACACCAGAGTTCAATTGATTGAGTGGTAAACAGTACATGCTTAAACCTATCTATAGTTCACATCTAAATTTTCTCCAATTCTTACTGGTTTAAATTGAGAACGTGACGCGATAGTGTTCATCGGCGGAGAGGACTCCCTACCCAGACTGCTCTTCCGAGTAAAATGCCCGGATGGATGGTACTCGTCTATGCAAATTTTTCTGTAAACAAGCGTTCTTACAGAAAGCTAGCATATTTTTTGTCCCTGAAGCGAGGTCGGGCAAATGTTTGTTTTAAGAACATCAAATTTCCGCGCGGCAACTATCAGCCGATAGTTCTTCGATAGAAACACTCTTTTGTTTAAACTGGATCAGTGATTGCTGAAATCTCAGTTTTGGCTCTAAAAGCGACCAGTTGCTGGCATTCTTGAATCAGTTCGTTGTCCGCCAGAAAGAGTGAACCAAAACAGTTTACCGCGTCTGATAGGTAATACATACGCCAACTGACCTGGGTGAAATTTTCTCAGCATTTAATTCGTCTCGCCCGTTTAATTTGGACGAGTCGTCGGTTATGCACCAGAATTAGGGAAAGATTGTATGTTAAATCACGGCTTCATCACAGGAATCCTAAAAAATAGTCTGGTTTCCACTCCACTGATGACAGAGCAGTCGTAAAAGTGGAGGAAAAGAATAAATGAGTAGATGAGTAGGCACAAAATTAAAATATTTAAACGTTTAATAAGGGTTTATAAAGGGAAATATAACACGTTAATTTCGGGACAAGGGTAAGTGTCCGTTTAATAGAGGGTGTCCGCTTAATTGGGGTTTCACTGTATTAAGATTAGTGGCTAAATTAAGAGAGTGACATTGGTAAAGTAAACAGTGATTTATTCCCAACGTTTTGCTATATAAAACAGATGTGATGGATATGTTGACTCTACTTTATTTGCGCAGTAAGTGTCTATTTTCTCCTTACAAAATAAAAACATTCAAAAGGAGACAGGTAATAAGAATAAAAAACTGGGTAATAATTAACAATTATTCCACGAACGCACGTTGGATATGAGATGGTAGATAGCCAACGAGGCGCGTGACGCTAAGTTGGCTATAATCATCTGATGTACAACAAGAGCGAGTGGAATAATTCTTTCACAAAAATGCCCCCAAAATAGAGAGAACTAGACTAGAATAAAAATAAAAAAGTCCCCCAAAAATCACGCGTATGCTTACCATATTTGTAGAGCATGGTATTGTTGCTCATAACCTATGAGGGCTACAAGCCAATGAAAACTCTCGAATTGCATTGTTCAATGATCTATTTTTTATTAACCAGCGATATTATACCGATGCAAAATCCATGGGAACGGACTTGGGCAAGATTTTAGGGCGCCCGGTTATGTGTTTCAATTTGAAGACCGGCACAAGATAGGTCGGGTACGTCAAGACTCGTCAAGACAAACTATATACTCTAGTGCCCAGTCTAAGAGATGAACTTGGTTGAGATGGCTGATGAATTCGTCTACGCCCGTAAACTCTCGTGTTTGGACCGGGGGCACGAGCGGCGAAGACATACACGTGAGATTAGACGAACCTCTCCCTTTCCCCCACTACGTCAGTACATCCCTCTTAACCTCACTCACGCGCCAAAGCGAAAAGCGAGACACCAGAGGCCTACTCGCAGGCTGTTGTTTTGACGTACTACCAATTCAAATTCCTGTGAAATAACAACTGTATAGAAGTCATTAAGGTAAATTAACAGATGGAACAAGATCAAAAGGTTCGCTACACTTGATCACCTGCAAAACCGAAACTAGTCAGGACTTGATCACGTGTATTTGATTTGAGTTCTCATTGGTTCATTGTGTTGTCAATGTTTGTTTTCATTGACCCTTTTGGTAAGTAATTATTGAATTCCTCATTTCCTCATGATCAGTATTAAGTGTGGTCCTTGAATGTACGCTTCTACAATAGAATGTGCTTATCACGACTGACGGAAAATGGTGCTTTCATCAGTAATGAAACCCTCGTTGCACAGAACAAAAGTAACCATGTTACTACTTTTTAGGTGACTTAGCTTATAAGATCTAATGCTAAATGCGGTGCAGTGAACGCTGTACTTCTTATTAAAACATGCTCCAGCCTTATAGCTTGGTTTCATAATGCTGTTAGAGTTCCTTATGAATGTTTGTTTCAGTTGGTGTTGCTTCTTCGTGACTGGTTCCTCTCACAAGCCTAAAGATAGTGGTTGAATCATCCTGTGGCTTGTACGAATCCACTCCGAGTGGAGTGGGTTTTCCAGTCGCTTTATCGTAAATCATCCAATATGTGTCTGTACTGGGATCCTGATTGGACAAAAGAAATGGTTAAAAAAATATTGAAACACAAGACAACATCCATGAAGGCGGCATTACAGTGATCATAACCTCCTTATTACAGTCAGTCTGAGGCCAAATTAACTATCCATTGTACAGAGGACGCTGCTGTAGGGGTTGGTTTTGAGTAAGAGCTGCTGTATGGAAATCGTGGCTGGCTATAAAGAGGATTGCAACTGTAAAATCAAAAAAATTCCCCTTCGTTACCCAATCCACTGTGGTCTGTAATACTTTTTAACGGAGCTACGTTGCAGTTTGTGCATCTTGAAAAGTTTAGTCTAAATTTTTCAACGAAGTTCGTCCTTTAAGTAATCCGTGTTAATCTTCTCCATCCTTAACCATCCTTGTTCCTCTATGGTTTATTATTATCTCTTTGATGTTTTTTTTTTATTTTTAGGTTTCCTTCAATTTAAAGGTAATTTTGTACGTGGCCAAAATAACTCAAACTGCTGTGACTGAGCTCATTTAAATCATCTTTCATTTCTACTTCTCTTGATCTCTAAGGGACAAGATCATCTGTGAAAATACCAAATTCTCCTGAGGAGCATCGTAGAAAATGTATGAATTGCACTGAGGAGAATTCAGATGATGAACACATACCTGTTCAGTACCGTTCATGGAAGTAATGAAATGTCCGAGCCCACCGTAATAGGTTGAAGTCCACCTGTTGTAAGGACCATTTGTATTTTCGTTGGCGGCCTTGTTCATAATGTCCACCAGCACGGTGCCCTTTGCAACCTGCGTGGTGTATGGAGCAGGAATCGGTTTATCAACGATGGTAACATTCCAGTCTATTTCAAGCGTAACTGTGATTGCAGAGGGCGGTACCTATACGAAAGATCATGTCTTTGTTATTATACAAGATTTTTCTAGTATAAAATTTTAAGTAACTATTCCGTTTCGAGATTGCAATCTATCGATCACTTATTTGTTGACTGCGAACATTCTAGATTTTTGTATAGAGAGAGAATAATTAACATCAACTAAAGCAGCCTGGATCGGTCGGTGTCGACTCAGAAACACAGAATTTTATAATAACCTTGATCCTCACAGTGCTGGTTTAAACTACAGAACAAAAATAAATCTAGATCTGGTGGTCAATCCCCAAGCCTGTAAATTTTTGTTAACCAGCTCGAATACCATGAAAAAATAGAAAAAAGGTTGCAAGAACACAAGAAAAACTAACGTATCATTTAAAAAAATGGACAAATTTCCTTCTTGTTTTGAGACACTGATCCTTTATTCCCGAAGTTATATCTTGCTGTAACCTGTGTGAATACTGATCGTATGCTGCATACATGTCAGCTTTTGACTAAAATTTCATCTCATCTTTTCCTATACAACTAATCTTCAAAAATAAAATGTAGAAATTTCTTTTGGCAGTTATTTACATAACATCGACATGGTTTTTTGGCCCTTTAGAACAAACAGTTGACGCTATTTTTCCCTAGAGCTACTTACACCTTTCTATCCGGCTTAAATTGTTTTTAGTTGTGCACAAATAATTCTTTTATTCTAGGAGATTTCAAGTCGACTTTTGTAATTCGTTCTTAAATTAATTTGAAACTCGTAAGGTCTGTAAGCCACTAAGTGTTAATCTATGAAAAAAGGAATATCCAGTAAGCCAGCCTTCTTCGCTTTGTCCTCATGTAGATGTTGTTTTCAGAGTTAAGATCAAGAATAAACTATGGAAGCAAGACTAATAACAAACCTCTCCAGAAGAGGGGAATTGCTTGCAATAACCAGTCACGTTCTCGCCATGACTTGAGTAAGTCGTATAGTTGAAAATGGTGGTAGACTGATTTATAGGAACATACGAACTCACTCCACATGGAAGAGCTCCTCCGCTTTGCTGGTCAAAAAGGAACCAGTAATTACCCGTAGTAGAGTTTTGCTGTGTTCCATTCATGGCTGTTATATAATACCCAATACCTCCATAGTACGTGCTGTCGTATTTGTTGAAAGGCCCTTGTTTGTTGTCTCCTGCTGCTTTGTTAAGGATGTCCACCAACACGGTTCCGTTCGGCACTTTTGTGACGTAACTGGCTGGTACTTCTTTATTAACGACGCTGACATTCCAGTAAATCTTCAGGGTTACTGTGATCTGTGAGAAGTGCGCGCATGACGCCATAAATACTGTAAATTGGGTAAATATTACACCGGAATACATAAAGCTAGGAGTTATATAAGAGCTACGTCACAATATTTTACATCTTTTTCGGATGCACAGCCAAGTCTTCACGCTTCCTGATCACGCTCTTAACCCTTTCAGCCCCGGAGAAAAACCTTATTTTTCTAAAATGATAACAGTAGATCGAAAGACCACAAGTAATATACCAGTTGAAAGGTACTGTTTGGGGCATGTATGTCCTAAATCATCACAAGAGAGATACAAGATGTCACAAATTGAATTGAGGAGTCTGCAAAGTAAAAACATGATAACGTTCCAAAATACCTTGTACATTTCGTGTACATATTGGGTATACCCCTAAACAATAGCTTAATTTGCAGCTCTGGGTTTGCAGATTTTTATCAGATATTCACTTGACCGTAAAATTGGAGGGTTCCTGTTTTATGAGTCAAATGAGTCATGAGTCATGAGTCAATGAGCCATGAGTCAAGTTATGAGTCAGGTCAGCGGTTTTCAAAATTCAAAATGGGGGACGTCGCAAAACTCGGAGTAAGTACTTACTGTGAATTCGGTGGTTCGCTACGCAACGATATTTGTCTCTCGAATTCATTTTAATAGACGAACAAGTTCAGAGGTTGAAATTACTCAAAGGACGCTAGTTACAGCGAAAGACGTTGAGATTTTCTTGCTGAAATGGGTTGGAAAGGACGGGCGACTGCCATTGCTTGATCACAACTGATCACTCCTAAGAAGTCGTACAAGAGAACTACTGACCGGAATATCACCTGATATGGTAGAAAATATATGGTTTGCCACCTTTAAATCTAGTGTAGAACCTTTGGGACCTAAGCCGGCACCAATAAACAGCATGTCATGTGCAGCCGATAAGGATTTACAACTGTCCCTCGAACACATTGCCAAATATATTGATGGCACGGGTCATAAGGTCAATATCCAATATGGCAGCCAATGGAATAGAACCGAACGTCAAGACAAAAATAATGACTCCTTTCCTGCGCTAAACGAAAGTAGAAAATAGACAGTTCAATAAAAATTTAACTATTGAGCAGCACTCTGCGAACTGTAATTGTATTTAGTTCTTATTAACCGAGCNTCCCGGGCTAGAGCTGGGCTCCTGTAGAGTAGGACTGTTTGTTCCTTCTTCGTGACTGGCCCCTGTCACAAGCCTAAAGATCGTGGTTGAATCATCCTGTGGCTTGTACGAATCCACTCCGAGTGGAGTGGGTTTTCCAGTCGCTTTATCGTAAATCATCCAATATGTGTCTGTACTGGGATCCTGATTGGACAAAAGAAATGGTTAAAAAAATATTGAAACACAAGACAACATCCATGAAGGCGGCATAACAGTGATCATAACCTCCTTATTACAGTCAGTCTGAGGCCAAATTAACTATCCATTGTACAGAGGAGGCTGCTGTAGGGGTTGGTTTTGAGTAAGAGCTGCTGTATGGAAATCGTGGCTGGCTATAAAGAGGATTGCAACTGTAAAATCAAAAAAATTCCCCTTCGTTACCCAATCCACTGTGGTCTGTAATACTTTTTAACGGAGCTACGTTGCAGTTTGTGCATCTTGAAAAGTTTAGTCTAAATTTTTCAACGAAGTTCGTCCTTTAAGTAATCCGTGTTAATCTTCTCCATCCTTAACCATCCTTGTTCCTCTATGGTTTATTATTATCTCTTTGATGTTTTTTTTTTATTTTTAGGTTTCCTTCAATTTAAAGGTAATTTTGTACGTGGCCAAAATAACTCAAACTGCTGTGACTGAGCTCATTTAAATCATCTTTCATTTCTACTTCTCTTGATCTCTAAGGGACAAGATCATCTGTGAAAATACCAAATTCTCCTGAGGAGCATCGTAGAAAATGTATGAATTGCACTGAGGAGAATTCAGATGATGAACACATACCTGTTCAGTACCGTTCATGGAAGTAATGAAATGTCCGAGCCCACCGTAATAGGTTGAAGTCCACCTGTTGTAAGGACCATTTGTATTTTCGTTGGCGGCCTTGTTCATAATGTCCACCAGCACGGTGCCCTTTGCAACCTGCGTGGTGTATGGAGCAGGAATCGGTTTATCAACGATGGTAACATTCCAGTCTATTTCAAGCGTAACTGTGATTGCAGAGGGCGGTACCTATACGAAAGATCATGTCTTTGTTATTATACAAGATTTTTCTAGTATAAAATTTTAAGTAACTATTCCGTTTCGAGATTGCAATCTATCGATCACTTATTTGTTGACTGCGAACATTCTAGATTTTTGTATAGAGAGAGAATAATTAACATCAACTAAAGCAGCCTGGATCGGTCGGTGTCGACTCAGAAACACAGAATTTTATAATAACCTTGATCCTCACAGTGCTGGTTTAAACTACAGAACAAAAATAAATCTAGATCTGGTGGTCAATCCCCAAGCCTGTAAATTTTTGTTAACCAGCTCGAATACCATGAAAAAATAGAAAAAAGGTTGCAAGAACACAAGAAAAACTAACGTATCATTTAAAAAAATGGACAAATTTCCTTCTTGTTTTGAGACACTGATCCTTTATTCCCGAAGTTATATCTTGCTGTAACCTGTGTGAATACTGATCGTATGCTGCATACATGTCAGCTTTTGACTAAAATTTCATCTCATCTTTTCCTATACAACTAATCTTCAAAAATAAAATGTAGAAATTTCTTTTGGCAGTTATTTACATAACATCGACATGGTTTTTTGGCCCTTTAGAACAAACAGTTGACGCTATTTTTCCCTAGAGCTACTTACACCTTTCTATCCGGCTTAAATTGTTTTTAGTTGTGCACAAATAATTCTTTTATTCTAGGAGATTTCAAGTCGACTTTTGTAATTCGTTCTTAAATTAATTTGAAACTCGTAAGGTCTGTAAGCCACTAAGTGTTAATCTATGAAAAAAGGAATATCCAGTAAGCCAGCCTTCTTCGCTTTGTCCTCATGTAGATGTTGTTTTCAGAGTTAAGATCAAGAATAAACTATGGAAGCAAGACTAGTTACAAACCTCTCCAGAAGAGGGGAATTGCTTGCAATAACCAGTCACGTTCTCGCCATGACTTGAGTAAGTCGTATAGTTGAAAATGGTGGTAGACTGATTTATAGGAACATACGAACTCACTCCACATGGAAGAGCTCCTCCGCTTTGCTGGTCAAAAAGGAACCAGTAATTACCCGTAGTAGAGTTTTGCTGTGTTCCATTCATGGCTGTTATATAATACCCAGTACCTCCATAGTACGTGCTGTCGTATTTGTTGAAAGGCCCTTGTTTGTTGTCCGCTGCTGCTTTGTTAAGGATGTCCACCAACACGGTTCCGTTCGGCACTTTTGTGACGTAACTGGCTGGTACTTCTTTATTAACGACGCTGACATTCCAGTAAATCTTCAGGGTTACTGTGATCTGTGAGAAGTGCGCGCATGACGCCATAAATACTGTAAATTGGGTAAATATTACACCGGAATACATAAAGCTAGGAGTTATATAAGAGCTACGTCACAATATTTTACATCTTTTTCGGATGCACAGCCAAGTCTTCACGCTTCCTGATCACGCTCTTAACCCTTTCAGCCCCGGAGAAAAACCTTATTTTTCTAAAATGATAACAGTAGATCGAAAGACCACAAGTAATATACCAGTTGAAAGGTATTGTTTGGGGCATGTATGTCCTAAATCATCACAAGAGAGATACAAGATGTCACAAATTGAATTGAGGAGTCTGCAAAGTAAAAACATGATAACGTTCCAAAATACCTTGTACATTTCGTGTACATATTGGGTATACCCCTAAACAAGAGCTTAATTTGCAGCTCTGGGTTTGCAGATTTTTATCAGATATTCACTTGACCGTAAAATTGGAGGGTTCCTGTTTTATGAGTCAAATGAGTCATGAGTCATGAGTCAATGAGCCATGAGTCAAGTTATGAGTCAGGTCAGCGGTTTTCAAAATTCAAAATGGGGGACGTCGCAAAACTCGGAGTAAGTACTTACTGTGAATTCGGTGGTTCG